ATAAAGACACATTGGATTGACATGATTTTTAACATCCTTCCTTTAAAGTAAGTTTCCTTGAATTAGAATTCGTGTATGTTATTTGGAGATCTTCAAAATCGTGTTTCCAAAATCGTGCAGGAACATGACTTTCCTTAAATGGCCGATCTTCTAAATCTAAGAGATCTACGGTGGATCTTTCCAAATTTTCATTAGATCTTTTCCAAAATGCCCATAGTCCTTTATGTATGAGAAGCTCACTCTTTTATAGTCATTGACAAACATTCTTTGTCCTACAAGAGAGAGAAAACAAATTATGATATAGAATCTAACTCATTAATGGAGGCAACATATATGGTAAGTGAATATATATGATATATATTGTGTAATCCTTATCCTAAAGGACTAGAACTCCATAATATATATTACAATAAATATATACCATATATCATTAATAATAAGTACTAGGAACTTAATTAGTTCACAAGTAAATAAATATAAAACTTCCCTGTAATTTATTTTGCTTGTCTAATAAATAAATCTTTTAAAAAACACTTAGGTTTGTTGGACGATGTCAAATCAATATTTTAACAAATACAATTGAAAAAACAAATAAAATGACAACTTATTTCTATTTGTAATTTGAAATTGATAGTGATGTATACCAAACTAAATTGTGTTCATACGTCAGGCTCTATACGTAATTTGAGTTTCGATAATATATAAAATGTGAGGAGAGAGATTCTTGATATAGGGGCTCTAATGCTCAAACTAAATAAAATTACCTAAAGAAAAGTATTGAAAAATTAAATGACAGGCTGGAAGCATATAAAGCGTAATGATAAAAAATTAAGGTTACTTTCCCTTGAAGAATGAGTATTTATACCCATTTTAGTTACCGAGATTCACATGATTTTTTAGATTGTGTAGAATCCCTCAAATTTCTGGTCTTTATTTCTTTATAGATATCATAGTATCTTTTCTCGTCTTATCTTATTGATAAGATTCTGGTCATAGCAAAATAAACCTATGTTTTGTAAGTTATTTATTTATCATCTTAGATGTAATTTGAGGTTATCATTATCCCTATCGAGCCATGGACCACCAAATCGACCTTCCCTCAAGTTAAAGCGTGCTAAAAATCACTGTCCTACAATCCGCTTTATTGACCTACTATAGATTTCACATCAGACAACAAGAATGAAGTAAAAAGGATTATGGATTTTGTTTGCAAACATATAAATATTGGTTACCATTTCACCAATAGTTTGTTTCCATCGGTAAAGTGTTTTATACTGATTAGAGTTTCAATGTATTACCAGAGGGTATTTTATTGATTAAAGTTTTAATGTATTACCAAAGGGATGTGTTAATTTTCAATGTTGCACTGAAGGAATATTTTTGTGGTGCGGACTGGCCGGGATGAGTATATGGTTTACTGGAGGAGGTTTTTTGGGTCCGTTGGCCCGGGTTTAGTTAGCCGCTAGGAGAATTTCTAGACCTGGTGTGTCTGGTCGTGGATCGTGTGACTTTTTCTTGGTGGATCACGTTAGGTGCTGACTCGAGTTTTGTAGGTGTTAGGTGTTCCTGGCTGGTGCGGAGGACTTTAGTCTAGTATCTAGGGTGTCAAGTGTGTTTACCTTTGTGTGTTTGTGTTGTTTTGTGTTTTGTGTTTGTGTTTCTATTCTCCCGTTTAGAAGTTAGTATCCTCCACTAGTGGGAATTTTTAAGTCATGTGAGTCTATTTAGTGTAGTGTTTCTAGGATACAATCATTTCGGCTTGTAGGCTCACTAAATCCAGTCTTTGGTTGTTTAATTCGACTAGTTAGCCGTATATAAATTTGTGTTTTATTAATATATTATGTCATTTCCAAAAAAAAATAAAAATATTTGTTTACTCCAAAGAGAATTTGCTAGTTACGCCTAAATCATTCGGTGTGACTTGTGACTTGTGAAGCTCCATTTTGTACATGACCATACCAAACTGACTCCACATATACCTTGCCAACATTGTAAGAAGTGGAAAAATATATGATTTCTTGTATTAACGCGGGGCTATGTACATGTATATAAGGACATAAGACGGGCCTCCATTAGGTTGAGCCTATAAACCTAACCCTACAATACCCACCTCCCCTCAAACTCAAGGTAGTATAGTGGAGATCAACTTGAGTTTGCTAAGAAGTAAACAAAAGGGACAAGGAAAAAGAGACTTCGTGAAGACATCCGTTGTTTGATCTGTAGAGGAGACTGAAACAAGTTGCACAGTCCCACGGGCAACATGTTGTCAAATGAAGTAACAGTAAATCTCAATATGCTTGGTGCGCTCATGAAAGTATCATTATGAGACATCTTGATAACATTTTGATTATCACAATGTAGAACCATAGACGACGACTGAGGTGCACCGAGATTAGCAAGTAGTCGACACAACCATAATAGCTCTGAGGTGGAATCAGCAAGAGCACAATACTCAGACTCAACACTCGATCTGGAAACTAATGTTTGCTTTTTACTGCGCCAAGAGACAAATGAATCACCCAGAAAGAAGCAACACCTAGTAATGGAACGACGATCAGTAGGATCTCCAGCCCAATCAGCATAAGAATAGCCGCTAAGTAGTAAAGAAGAACGGGCAAAAAATTGTAAACCATGCAATAGGGTGCCCTTCACATAGAGAAGGATGTGCAACACAGCATAATGATGCATGGTTTTCGGAGCAGCCATAAACTGACTCACAATATGAAGAACATTAGCTATATCAAGCCGAGTGACAGTCAAATAGATCAAACTCCCAACAGGCTGACGATATAATGCAGGATTCTCAAGAAGAGAGCCATCAATTGGAGTAAGACGAACATCATAATCAAGAGGTGTGGAAGCTGTCTGAAAATCAGTGAGACCGGCCCGAGCAAGAAGATCAGAGGCATACTTGACTTGAGACAAATAGAAGCCATAAAAGGAATCAGAGATCTCAAGACTCAAAAAATATCGAAGCTGGCCCAAAATCTTCATCTCAAAACACTAACGAAGATAGTCCTGTAAATCGAAAATACCGGTAGCATCATGTCTCGTGATGATCATATTGTCAACATAAAGCAGCAAAACAATGATCCCAGATGAGGAGCGCCAAAGACAAATAATAGAATCGTTATCACTCGTAGTGAATCCGAGTTCGCGTGCCGCGAACCGCACGCCCTAGCACATCATGCCCGCACTCGCTGCGAACTTGTGTTCGCGACCCGCGAAAGCACCAGTGCAGGCCATTTTTCACTCCAACTCGCTGCGAACCATTATTCGAGACTCGCGAATGTGCCCAGCTGCACTATTCCATGCCTAAACTCGCTGCGAACCCTATATCGAGACCTGCGAACTTCAAAATTTCATTAAATGTGTGTTTTTAGTGTGTGTTTGTGGTGTATCTATAAAAAGACATTGTGTTTTGTAATTTTGGACATCACCCATCATTTCCCAACTTTTAAGTTGGGAAATCCTCTCCATTTTCTCTCTTTTCTTTTTATGCATTGGTTGGGAGGTCCATGACTCTATTTTTCCGGCAAATTTCCGGCAAGCTTATTTTTATCCAAGTTCTGAGCTTTATTTATTATTTTCGTCCGGGCACGCGATAGAAGAGTAAGTACCTTGCTTAGGACTTACTACTTCGAGTTTGTTCTTCGAATTTTGTGTTTATGCTCGTTTCTAGGTTTTTACTTTATTTCATTGCTTGCTTTCGTGTGTTGAGAATCTATACGTGCTTATCTAGTATAAAGGTCTCGACTTTGTTCAAAGCATGACGATTTAGTGTAGAAAGCTCGTGTTAAATTACCTAGGATCACTATGCTCGCATGTTTTCTCTTGTTTTTTTTTATTTCCTTGAGTTATGGAGATTCTGTGCAACCAATGCTTTGACATTTCTTTCGATTCTTGCGTTTTTCATTATTTTCTCTTAGATTCTTAGTTCAATTTCGTGCAATCCAACCCCATCAAGGGAGTAGAATGTGTAAGACCTTGTTTTTGGTTATGTGACTTTGACGACTAGGTAGTGAACGAAGCTCCGAACAACCTACCTTTGAGAATGACCCGAGTCGGGTAGCTCGGTTACCACATGCCCAAAAATACTACAAACAAAGGCACTTGTTTCAAACCATACAAAGCTCAACGTAGACGAGAAACCTTCCAGATGACAAGGATCCTAGAAAACAAGTCATGTAAACCTCCTCAGCTAAGGCACCATGTAAGAAGACATTCTTAACATCTAACTATAGAAGAGACAATCGATGAACAGCAATAAGTGCAAGTAAACACCAGACAGTAGTAAGACAAGCAATCGGTGCAAAGGTCTCTTCATAATCTATGCCATACTCATGTGAGTAACCCTTAGCAACCAGACGAGCTTTGTAGTGCTCAATAAGTCCATCTAAATTCGTCTTGATCTTATAAACCCATTTGCATCCGATGGGAGTCTTGCCAGCAGGTAAATCCACCAAATCCAAAGTATGAGACTTTTCCAGCACCTGTAATTCCTCAGCCATAGCTTGTTGCCACAATGGATCAGCACTCGCCTCACGAAAAGACCTAGGCTCATGATGCGATAGTATAACCGAATAATAATGATAGTCAAGTAGTTGAGAAGGGGGATGACTTACACGAGTTGACCGTCAGTGATCAAAGGTAGAGGAAGGAACTGGATTAGGAGTGGACTCAACAGGAAGCGTCGATTCAGGATGTGCAGGTGGAACAACTTCTGAAGACGGAGGCGTGACAAGCGTGTCAATGAGCTTTGAGCCAGGAGAAGTATTTGAAAAGAGATTCGAAGTAATGGACATGAAGAAAGGGGATGCCTAATCAAACGGAATGTGAAATTTAGACAATGATGAAAAAATAGTATGTTCCCAAAATGTAACGTGACGTGAAATACGCAACCGATTTGAAATAGGATCCCAATACCTAAACTCTTTGTGTTCTATCCCATAACCCAAAAAACAACACAAACGAGCTCAGGGTTCTAATTTGTTTCACTCATGAGATGGAAGAAGAATAAAGCAAACACAACCAAAAGGGCGTAGGTGTGTATAATCAGGGGGTTGATTGTACAACCTTTCAAAAGGGCTGATATCTCGAAAAACTGATGAGAGTAATCGGTTGATAGCATAAACAGCAGTCAAGGCTGCTTCACCCCAAAAACGATCATGACATTTAGTAGAAAGGAGAAGAACACAAACAGTATCTAGAATTTAACGGTGCTTACATACATCTCGTCCATTTTGTTGGGAAGTATAAGGAATGAACACTGAACGACTGTGCCCTGATCAAAAATATATTTTAAAATGGTAGAATCATTGTACTCAAGGAATTGTCAGTATGCAAGATCTTTATAGAACAGGAAAATTCCGTGTGAATCATTCAAGCAAATTGAATATATATAGTGGGTAACTCAGAACGATTTTTGAGAAAATAGATCCAGGTAAAACGAAAAAAATCATAAAAAAATAAATAAATAAAGTACCGAAAACCATTCATAGAGGAAACAGGGGAAGAACCCCAAATATCAGATTGTACCAAGGCAAAAGGTGTATCAGCAGTTGACAAATTTTTAGAAAAAGAAAGAGCCGAGTGTTTCCCAAGTTTACAAAGAAGACAACTGAAAGACTCAAACCGGCCTGGACCTAAAAGACCCTTATTATATAAAGAATGAACTATAGTGGAAGACGCATGCCTAAGACGAAGATGACATTGGAACGAACTATTTGAGAATAGCTTCTATGTCTTGAAGAGTGTAAGACGAGTGCTGAGGCTCATCAGTGACAGCTGCTGTAACAGAATAAATGGTTGGTGAAGAAGACCCACGGGACCCTCGATATCGGGGAGATGAACCTCGCAAACGTTGTGACTTGGCTGGAGAATTTGGAACAATATGACCCGTAGAATGGAAGATGTGGCACTCCACCTTAGATCAAGTGGCAAAAGATTGACTAGGGCTATTGCAAATCCTACAATAAACAGAGATTGGTGGCTGAGGCTGATGTGACGGAGCGAAAGCAGAAGTAGGCACAACTAATGCAGACTCAAGCTGTGGTGCCTTGTCCAACTGAATACGAGTCTCCACAAAAGTGATCTCTTGAATAGCAA